ATAACTCGCTCTCATAGTTTTAAAGTATGACACATTAACTTAATACCTCTATAATTCGCACAATCTTGTGCATCACCTTTATTCTTAAAAATAGGAATTAACACACTCATTCTCCACTCATCTGGCATCTTCTTAGTCTTCAAAATAGTATTAAAAAGTTTAGTAAGCCATGAAATTCCTTCATCTCCTAAGCATTTCCATACCTCTATTGGAATATCATCAGGTCCAACAGCTTTTCCACCCTTCATTTTCTTTAAAGCCTCTCTAACTTCAGTTTTACTAATACGCCGATAAAAACATAAATCTTTATTTTCATTTAGGGTGCTAAGATCACTATAGTCAATCTTATTTTCACAGTCTTTATTAAAAAGTTTAGCAAAATATCTCATCCATCTTTGTTGAATATCATCTTCTAAGAAAAGTAATTTTTAATCTTCATCTTTAATACACTTCACTTGAACTAAATCCTTACTACTTCTATCTCTTTGTTTGGCTAACTTATACATATATCTTTCTCCCGCTTTAGTATCTAATCTATTATATAAATCACTAAAAACTAATGCCTTTGCATCGCATATTACTTTCTTAGCATCTTTACGAGCCACTTTATATATTTCCCAATTATCAGAATTTTTAAAATTAAACCAATTTTTATAATAAAGCTTCTTATTTTTAATTTTTTCTTGCACATTAGGACAACCTTTTTATGACAGAAAAATTTAGCTTAAAGCCTGTAACAATTGCCCTAATTAAGTCTATGGGACATTCATTTAGCTTTTTCTTACTGGGAATCTCTCTCAATATTCTCTTTATAAGCAACTTTATCATCCCTTCACTATTTTCTACCTCCACAAGCTTGTTGGAAACCACTCGACTAAAACTTTAGCATCTTAAAAGCCTTCTCTCTAGCTACCTTAAATACCATACACTCTGGGTTGGCATCACTGAGCCAAGGGAGTCAAAAACACTATGAAATGCCTTGCTCAATGCTTTATCTATTATATCATGTTTATCTTATTTCTATTTTGCAATGAGCTATGAGCCATAGCTAAACCTATGTGACACAAGATAACTCAATTGTCCTAATAAGTAGATGCATGTTTACTAAAACAAACAATATTCGACAGACCACAAATTAACTGAATTGGGGTGAAAAGAGAGGTAAGAATTGCCTAAACCTAAATCAAAATTAGTCTATTGCATCAAATTTGAGACTTAGATCATGTAAGATACAAAGTTAGTAGACAAAAATATTAGAACAAATATTACATGCTTGGAAGAAACAAAAAAGATAATGTAAAAGGTTATAAAAAATCATTTGTTGGGAATGCTATTGATAGAAATGAATTAGGAATAGTTATGTATTGAGAGTTAAAGATAACATGTTATGCTATTTGGTACTTTTGAGTTTTGATAAGTTAAAATCAAAGGGAGGACATTAGAAATATGATTGATACCTATACCGAGGAATGACTGAGGACGAGAAACAAAGAAATCATTAATTGAAAAATAGATTGAAGAATACTTGAGGATGTAAAATAAGTAGTTGATAAAACTAGAAGTGATAATGGGAGAAAATGATTAATTAGAGGAATTATAAAACAACACATAACATAAGGCGCTAGAAAAAAAATTAAAAGGAAGAATTAATGTGGAAGTTAATAAATAAGAAAAATGTGTACACCGATGATAGTGTATCTAGAAACAAGTATTAAGTTTCAAAGAAGCAAGCATTAAGGGAAAAAAACTTATGAACTCAGTGCTAAATAGGAATTAATGTAGCACTAAATATGAATTAATGAATGATTGTTAAAGTTGAACCAAATAATTGGCATAACATTAATGATGACGATGATTATAAATATGATTTTTAGTGAATATTAAGAATGTGGAAGAATATCATCATCATCATTAGCCTTATCCCAATTATTTATGATCTAAATATTTCATTCATTCCAACTAAGTGTTTCTAAAAGTTTAAATATATAATTTGCAAATAATTTTTAACTTATAATAGTATTACCTTAGGTATATACATTTTTGTTCATAATCCCCTACGTTAATTTTGTATGTTTGTCCAATAGGTGATTTTCAATCATTTATTCTATGTCCAAACCATCTAAGTTTATTCTCAATATCGATAGATGTCATAGCAATCATTCCTTAGTTTATCCTTCCTACTTTTATAGCACATCCATCTTAACATTTTCACTTCTATCATGCTCAAATTAAATCTATTTTTTGTTTTTTTACAACTCAACAATTAGCTCCATGCAACATTGTCAGTGTAATTTTAGTTTATATAATTTATCTTTAAGTCTCCATAATATCCTCTAATCGCAAAATACTCCTTAGACACTTTTTCAATTTAACCATATAGCCATAACTCGAGAAATTATATCAAGTCAATATCCCTATTTTTTCTTTGTAATAAATTCAAGATACTTAAAACTATTACATCTAACTATTTTTTTTATCTTCTAATAATAGCCATTGATAATTTTTAAATATCATCCACAAGAGTTGCATGCCATATATGCAATCTTTGTTCTACTAATTCTAACTTATCTATCATCTAAACATTTCCTCGATTGTTCTAAAATTTTACTTTTTTCAATGAATGCTTCATTGAATAATAATCTAAAAAAATTATACATCAAAGCTCCTTATTTAAATATTATTTATAAACATCTCTAGAACTAATAGAACTAATAAAAACAATATATAGACTGAATATTGAACCTTAATATAATCCTCCTATAATTAGAAACTCTTTATTCATTCAACAACTGATTTTAATACTCATAAAAAATTCATCATAAATATAATTAATAATTTCAACACATCTTTGTCACATATTTTTATCTAAATGTGACTCAAATCAATTCTAGTGGTGCTCGATCATGTGCCTTTTCAAAATCAATAATAACTAAATGAACGACCTTTTTTCTATTTTTCATTCTTTTTCATTATTATTGTAACACAAAATTGTTTTCAAAGAAAATCTTCCTATCATGAAACTAAATTGATTCTCCTAAATTAACAAAATTTTCAAGCCTATGCTCAATTACGCTCTTTCATCACTTCATTTTATGATTCATAACTTTGATTCCTATATATTTAGCACAATCTTGAATATCTCCATAATTCTTAATATTGGTACTAAAATTGTTTTTCTCTAAATATTTGTCATCCTCTTAGTTTTGAAAATTCCATTAAAAAGATTAGCTAATCAAAGCATTGTAATATCCCCCATAGATCTTTAAATCTAAATGAATATCTCATTTGGACCTAAAAATTTGTTTTTATTCATATTCATTAGAGATAAACTACACTTCACTTTTTGTCATCTATAATATACCAACTTATGAAAAAAGGTTCCTTTAACTTAAATATTGGAACTAAAATGCTTCTCCTCCAAACATTTGGCATCCTCTTACTCTTGAAAATTTCATTAAAAATAGCAGCTGATCGAACCATTGTACTATGCCCAATAATTCTTCAAATCAAAATAGATATCTCATTTGTATCTAAAGCTTTATTCTTATGCGTCTTCTTCAGAACTAACTCAACTTCACTTTTTTGGATAAACCTAAAATATATCTATTTATTAAAAAAAAGTTTTTATAAAAGGGCTTTTTTTAATCATTTAGAGCTTTACGTGGAGTCGAAGCTATCACTACCCAAAATTGCTTAGCCAACAATCTACTGGATTGGAAATGAGCAATTGTGTGCTGGTAACATACTTATGAGACAAGTTTTTTAATGTACAAAATTTAAATTGCATAGGCTTTCTCAAAAGCCATACAACAGTGCTCATCCAATTCAACAAAGAACAAAGAATGCAATGCCAATTACCAAAAGATCTTGTATAACCATCTTAAGATCAAAACCCAAAACTTAACAGCCCAAAGGCAGCCAAAATTTGCTCACAAGGCAATATATCTCCTTGTTATTCCCTAATCATCATAATCTGCTACATAACAAAAATCAGCAAAAACTAAATCTATTTAAAGTATCATCAGATTGGTTCTCAAGATGTAGGATTACGAACAAAAAAATTACCATAAGAAAAACAAGCATCAAATATAACAACAACTACACGATCATAATCACTGATAGGATATTTTATTGAGAGAATAAGCAAAAGAAATTCAGAAAAAAATGATCCAGTTAGACAAGATGTATACACTCTTAACTCATAAGAACAGCTCCCAAAGAGAGTCTTCACGAAAATAAAGGCAAAACTAAAATTCTTAGAACTCATATACACACAACACAACACCAAAAGCAGCAGTAACACCAAGGAGAATTCAAACAGTCGCGTGACAAGGGGAAGAAAGGAAACCCTAGGTAGAAGCCTATAATCGGATAAGAGGCTCACCTAGTACAAAAATAGGGATTGATTCATGCTAATACGGTCAGATCTACTCATTTCTGGATGCTTCTGCGGCGCGGGCGCTATCATAATCAACGACTTCGCGATCGGTGATGGAACGGGAGTGTTGGACGATGGAGCGACCGATAGAATTGATCCACTCCTCCTTCTCCTTCTCCGAATCAGCGATGAAGTACATCGTCTCCCGGTGGGTCGAGAGCTCAAAGGCAAACTGCCGATTGATAACATCTTCGGCGCCCTTGACGGTGAGGCATGAAGCCACGGGGATGACGCCGCGAGGGACGGAAGAGCGGTTGACAACGTGATCCTTGAACCAGAATAGCTTCCCCTGCTTCAGAACGAACCAGCGCCGCCTCCACGTCTTGATGTACTCGCCCTGCTTCGTGAGCCACCCCCCGCGCTCCGGATTCGACCAGAATTCCACGCCGTCAGCAAGGGCATCCGGTTCCGTCGATGATCCCATAACTGCTCTCCAGAAACTTGCCATCGCTAATCTCTCCGGTGCTACTCCGGCGATGCTTCTTGCGCTGCCTTTTTCCTAGTTCGTTGTGCTCGCTTTCATCTCGGCTGGAATTTGAGAAACTACAGAAACGAAAAGGCCAAAAATAGGCGAGGAATTTACATACATACCGCTTAATACTATTCTATTTACATATTTAACACTTAAAACTTTAATATTACATAAATACCATCCATAGTTCATTTTCATATCAAATATGAGTCGTAGAAATGAAATATATGAGTGGTATGAAAGAAATATAAGTGGTATATTTGATATTAAAATAATATAGGGTGGTATGCATGTAATATTAAAATTTTAGGTGTTAGATATGTAAATAGGATGTTATAAAGTGGTATGTATGTAAATTTCCCAATCTCAACTAAAAAGTAGGATATATTTTTCCTAAAAATATAATTAACGAGTTTATTCCCGAATTACAATTTACATATAAAGGCGGGAGAGGCTTCGCCTCATTCGGCTGATTCCATTCGCCTCCCACCTCTAATTTATCAATCGATAAACATTAACAGCCCATCATTTTTTAAGAATCCGGAGACCTAATCTCCTTCTGATTCATCGCCTATTCACGCGCTTTCTCTGTCGCTGCAACTTTGATTTGGATGCGGAGGTTCTCATCTTCACATTGTGCCCCTTGGCCACTGTTGTTCCAAGATCGAACGGTTATCTTCAGCTAATCCATTGCCGAGCGCTTTCGGAGTTGTTCCCGCTGAGCCGGCTGAAGGCATGGCCTTGATTGGGGATTTCGGCAATGCGCCTGAGGCCACGCATTTGCTCATTGCGATCTTTTTCGCCATGTGTTTCGCTCTGGCCAGGTTTTTGCTAAATTCTCTAGTATATAAGGTAATGGTTTCTTAAAGGTCAAATTTGCTTCTTGTTTTCTTATGGATCATTTGGTTGCTTGTAAATTACAAATATGTTTAGAAAGTCATAATTATTTTCACTTATATTAGATTGTGAAAAATGAAATCATATATTTTTTTAAAGAGTTTTGAAAAGGTTTATAAAGTTTGAAATCAATATTGATAGTCTAATTATATCCAACAAAATGTTGTATTTAACGAAATTAGTCATTTTTTAAAACACGGTTTCTAAATTCAAATAACCGAATGAAGTGCCTAGAAGATTTAGAATGTTGCTCCTAATAGATATTCTAGGAAAAATTGATGATTGTATTATTTCCTATTTTGTAACTTGTGACATAATCATCAGATGCAAATATAAGCTAGTCATTATATGTAAATTTTTAGTTAGTCAGGAGTTGTTGCTAGCTAGTTGTGGGTTATAAATCTCGACGACTTTTATTATAAATAGGATCAATCCAAATAAAACAATATAAACATATTTTCTCATTTTTTATATGGTATTAGATCTATCCTCAACCATTTTTTCCAAGATTCCTCTCTAATGTTCTCTCTATATTCTCTCCCAAATTCTCTATTATTCTTTCCACTTACATAATGTTAGATATACTCTCTTGCTCAAACTTCTATTCACTCCACTCAACCTCTTGAGTCCTTAGTTGCTCCATTCATCTTAGGTCAAGTTGGCGGTATTCTAGTGCCTTATTTTGACTTTGCTAATCCCATGATTTAAAATTGTGCAATTAGAGGCCTATCTTAAGACTCACCTTAATGTAAATTGAAAAAAAAAAAAAAAAGAGATATGAGATGTTGGCCTCACACTTGCTTGATGAGGCTTAAACTTCAAACGGGGTGAGGCGCTCCTCAAGGTATGCCTCAACGCAATTTCAGTGCAATTTTGAAGAGGTTTACGTCTAAAAAATTAGTATTTAGATAATTTAAAAATGTTTATATATATATATATACTACACCTAAACAAGATAGACTTGAGAATAACTTAATGATCTCAACTTGCGACCACGTGATGTACATTGCATGACCCTCACACTTGCACTCGATCCTACAACGTCACCGTATCGCTGCGCCACTGCCGCTTTTTCTCCTTCAACACCTCTTCTGTTGTTATTAGAAATTCATTTCCTCTCGATCCTACTGTACCTCTTCTCCTCTCTTGTTGTTAGATTCTACTAACAGTCAATTAAAGAAGTTTAATAACAAGCAATTGTAAAAAATTGCTATATGAAAATGCTAAATCAAAATATTCTATCAATGCAAACTAGATATCAATGAAGAAAGAGTCATTTATTTGAAGAGAAGAGACTCAAAGGTCCTCCTTTAATGTGTTTTATTTATTGTCTCTTGTGAGCTATAATACATTTTCTTCTATTTATGCCCCTCTTGGCATTAAGAATTTGAAAATTTTTGTCAACAAAGCTTTTGGTGTTTGAAATACAAATATCAGAGGGTACATGCTAGGAATTTGGACACTGACCCACCAATAAGATAATCTTTAAGAGCAATTGCCTCTAGTGGATTTGGATCAATGATGAACTTGTGGGAAGGAGCAGGCTGAACATGACCATTGAGCTAAAATTCAGAGAGGGTGTTGAATCCAAAATATGATCTAAAGTTGCTTAAGCATTTTGCATACAAACCATCTCAAAAGTAGTTAAAATTATAAACATTACATTAGAAAGGATGATATCAATTGACTGCTTCCAAAATCCTTGCTAGGGGATGTCCGCAATTTTGGGTGTGTCTAAAAGCATTTAGAGAAGTTGTGAGAAAAAATAGCAAGAAAAATAATATAAAGAAATTCCTCAAATTCTACCTTCTGTCAGTGGCCAAAGTCAATGGAAACAATCTAAATATTTTTTTGCTATCATTCCATCCACACCATTGTAATCATTGCTTACAATCTCCAGCAATTTCTAGATCTTATTGACTCTCCCTTTATCACTCTTCCATCATCAAGCAAGAAAGCGGGGAAATCACCTTGATACAATTGTTTGTATTCTTAAACCATCTCTACAAGGTGTATTGTCAGCCTTATCTCTATCACTTGCACCTGCACAATTTTTCATCATTACTTTGCATGAATCTACCATAATTGCTACGACAGCTCTTACCATTAACAACATCAATGATTCATGCCTAAAAAATGCTCATCAGTATTAATGTTTCTACTCAAACACTATTTAGACTACTCACTGCCAATTTTATCTTCTAGAAATTGTAATTCCAAACACTCTTCATTAGCTATGATCTAATTGGTTACATTGATGAAACTAAATCATATTCTCCAGTTGCAGCCACTACAAACGGTGCTACAACCCAAGCCCTTATGGATCCTAAATGGCACTAGATAATGTTTGACGATTATCATAGTTGTTTACAATGGTTCATGGCTGTTGATTCCATTTGAAGCTAATCAAAATGTTGTTGACCAAATGAAATTTTCAAACTAAATGTCAGTCTGATGTTTTTTATTGGCATATTTAAGATTTGTCTCTTTACGTAAGGCTTCCACCAACAATCTTATGTTTACTAAAATGATACATTCTACTTGTCAAACCCAGCACCATCATATGCGTTGTTCTCAACATTGTCGTTAATCATGAGTGGTTTTTTGACACTGGATGTTAGAAATGCTTTCCTACAAGAACATCTCTCTAAAGATGTTTATATGACACAACCACTTGATTTTATTAATTGTATTTGTTCTTCTCATGTTTGCAAGCTTCACATAGCTACCCGTTGCCTCAAATAAGCCTCACATGCTTTGTATCATGATTGTTGTTCATTCATATTTGTCTCTTGATTTAGGAACTCCCATGATGACATATCACTATTTTTCTTCAACTTTGCTAGCCACATTATCCATTTTCTTGTCTATTTTAACAACATTATCATCATAGATGATAATGAGACTCTTATTGGAAGATTTGTGACTCTTTTTGCTCAATAATTCTCTCTCAAAGATATTGTCGATCTGCATTACTTCCTCGGTGTGAAGGTCATTTCGTACACCTATGAGATCTGTTATCTCATGGATGGTACATCATAAACCTCTTGCATTAAAATGGAAAACTCTAAATGCCATTTGCTATCAATCTTACCCTAGCTCTCCATTTATAGATCCAATTGACTATAGAGGAATCATTGACTTCTTATAATGCTTATCACTTGCATGCCCCAATGTAACATTTGTTATAAATAAACTATCATAGTTCTTGCATTGAACAGCCCCTAATCATTGGGCATATAAGAAGCACCTTCTTCGGTATCTATTTGATACATTAGATAATGACATTATTTTACAATGTGATTCTCGATTATCTTTACACACTTTTTTGGATTCCATTAGTATATACATTATATATTTTGGTCACAATCGTATTTCAAGGAGTTCCAAGATACAACACACCATCACTAGACGGTCGATAGAGGCATACTATATATCTATCACTAGCATTGTCACCAAACTAAATTGGGTCCACTCTATCTTAATTGCACTTGGAATTCATATTCCACAATGGATGGTCATCTATTGTGATAATGCTAGATTCACTCACTTGTGCTTAAACCCATTGTTCCAATCTTGCATGAAACATGTTGCTGTTGATTTCTACTTCATTCGTGACCAAAATGGTGTACTTTGAGTTGCTCATGTTTGATCCAAGGATTAACTAACGGATGCTCTCACAAAACCTCACCCACGAACTCAATTTATATGACTCAAGAACAAGATTGGATTCCCTCATTGGAGCTTCATCTGCATGATAGAGATTATGGGGCTAATTGACAATTGCATGATTTCCTATTTTACAAATTATGAGCTACTCATTAAATGTAAGTATTAGTTGGTCCTTAAATGTAATTTGTTAGGTAGTAATGAGTTGTTGCTGGTTAGTTGTGAGTTGGTACTAGTCAGTCATCATTTGTTGTTAACTAGTTGGAAGTTGTAAATCTCTATAGCGTTTTGTATAAATAGGGATCAATATTCACCTCCTCTATGAAGGAGGTGCAAGTGCTGTACAACTTTCTTCACATGTTTTGACATGAATCAAAATCATGACATGACATCTTTTTGAAAATCAAAGCAGTTTAAGGAGCCAAACAAATTGATTAAACTCTAAGAGATAAGAAAATAGAATAAAAATTGAACATTTTTTTGGCTAAAACCCTATGATTCCTTCAAACTAAGTGT